TCCCATCTGGTCCTGGGCTTTCGTAGATTGGTAGGCTTTGGATGGTGTTTTCTGTTTCATTACTTGCAATTCATCTGTTTAAATCATGTATATCCTCCTGATTCAGTTTGGGTAGTTTATATGTCTGTAGAATGTTGTCGATGTCTTCAAGATTTTCTATTTTATTGGAATATAAATTTTCAAAACAGTTACTAATTATCTTCTGTATTTCATTAGTGTCCATTGTGATATTTCCTTTTCCATCATATATTTTAGTAATTTGCATTTTCTCTCTTTGTTAGTGGGGCAAGGGGTTGATTAATTTTATGATGACATGTATTCTTAATGCTGAAGAAATCTGTGTAATGATCCAACCCCACTAACCCAGAACCTCACTTGTTTCACTTGTGGCCAAGGCACCTTGAGGCTGGAAAGGTTCACATGTGCCCAAGACAACTAATGCTATAATAGTGGCAGGGCCACAAACTGAGTCTAGAATCAACCCCAAGCACTCATCTTTCTTTCTGTGCATGAGGGACACAGTAGTATCTCCCTATAGCATTCTACCTCAGGAAATGTATGATCTGTCGTCTGCCAACATGTCTAGTGTGATTCTTGCTTTGTACATTCTGTATCTTCTCCTTGCAATGTTCCCTGTCCCCATTTGACTTCCTTGAAAGCATTTATTAATATTTCAAGCCAGATTATCACTCCCACTAGGGATCCTTCTCCACCTACCCACCACCACCCCACCTTCCATCAGTTTCTCTCTTTCCTGTTACATCTATTCCCTTACTGATTTATTCAGCAGGTAGTGGTACCAGGCACTGAGGTAAACAAAAATTGTCTACCAGTGAACATGACTGAGGAACTCCCTGCCCATGTGGAGCTTGTGGTCTGTTGGGGAAGGCAGCCACTGAAAACAGCAGACCCAGAGATGCTTGTGTGGTTACAACTGGGATGACGGTCATGATGCAAACAGCGAGTGTTCCTGGCCCCCAAAGAACCTGGTGGAGGAACAAATGAACCTTCATGTTGTCATGTTCCAATTTGCACATCAGTCTTCTGGGAGAAGCTGAGCTCACCTTGATTCTCCCCAACTCTGTGTCCCTGGCACTGTGAGCACCTTGAGCTCATGAATAAGGAGGAGGCAGGGAGGTTGGCCTCTTCTCTCATCTGACCCCGCATCAAGGATGAAGAGCCTCTCATCCTGGTGGCTGCTTAGGCTTTTGGAGCTCTGTGCAAGTACCTGAAAGTCCACCAGAGTAAGGAAGGAGGCTTTGGTCAGGGAGAAGGTGTGATCCTGGGATGTGAAATCTATGTCACTTTCAGATCAGTGGTGGGGGCTGTCCTCAGATAACCTCAATGTGTGGGGCAGGGAGGTGGATCTTTAGGATCTAGGAACAGGGGCAATGACCTGATCTGAGAGTATTTATACGTACATTCTTCATTCTTCTTAGGATGATTCGATAAGAGTGTATTGCATTCTCTTTAGAAGTCTCTTTAGAAAGACATGAATACGTCTATAGAAAGCTTATACCCAAAAGACTTACAATCAACATACTATAGTGACGCAGCCACATCAATGTTTATACCATCTCACAATAGCCAAGCTATAGAACCAACCTTGGTACCCTTCAACAGATGAATGGATAAAGAAAATGTGGTATGCATACACAATGGAATATTACTCAGCTATAAAGAAGAATGAAATTATGGCATTTGCCAGAAAATGAATCTAACTGGAGACTGTCATGCTAAGTGAAATAAGCCAGTCTCAAAAAACCAAAGGCAGACCCTTCTCTCTGATATGTGGATGCTAGCCCATAACAAGGGAGGATAAGGAGGTGAAGTATAGAAGTTCATCAGATTAGACAAAGAGTAATGAAGGGAAGGGAGAGTGGATGGGAATTGGAAAGAGAACAAAATGAATCAGTCATAACTTTCCCATGCTCATATATGAATACACAACCAGTGTAACTGCACATCATGTACAAGTACAGGAATGAGATGCTAAATGGAATGGGTTGCATTCCATGATCATATACAATGTCAAAATACACCCTATTGTCATATATATCTAAAAACAACAAATTTAAAAAAGACAAGATTGACAATCCCTCAGCCAAACTAACCAAAGGTTTAGAAGAGCCAAATCAACAAAATTAGAGATGAAAAAGAAAACATAAGCACACACTTCTGAAATCCAGAAGATCATTAGAAACTTTTGAAAATTTTTACTCCAATAAAATGGAAGATATTGACAAATTTCTAGCCACATATGACCTTCCCAGAGTGAACCAGGAAAACATAGAAAACATGAACAAACCAATATCAAGTAATGAAATTGAAACAGCAATTAAAAGCCTTCCAACAAAGAAAAGCCCAAGTCTACCTGGATTTTCAGCTGAGTTTTACCAGACTGTTAGAGTGTAACCAATTCCAGTCGTCCTCAAAGTATTCTATGAAATTGTAAGGGAAGGAAGATGTCCAAATGCATTCTATGAAGCCAGTATAGCCATGATACCAAAAGCAGACAAAGATGTATCAAGGAAAGAAAACTACACAACAATATCCCTGATGAACATAGATGCAAAAATCCCTGATAAAATCGTAGCAAACCACATTCAAAAACAAATTAAGAAGAAAATACATCATGATCAAGTGGGTTTCATTCCAGGAATGCAAGATTGATTCAGTGTATTCAAATCAATAAATGTAATTCACACAAATAGAATTAAGAATCAAATGATCATCTTAATAGATGCAGAAAAGGACTTTGATAAAATCTAGCATCCATTTATGTTAAAAACACTAGAAAAGTCAGTGATACAAGGAACTTACCTCAACATTGTAAAGGCTATATATGACAGACTCAAAACCAACATCATACTGAACAGAGAAAAAGTGAATGTATTTCCTCTAAAAACAGGAACAAGAAAAGCATTATGGAGATTCCTCAAAAACTCAGAATGGAACCACTATATGACCCAGATATCCCACTCCATGGTATTTTTCCAAGAGAACTAATAAAAGCAGACTAGAGCAATACACCCTCGATGTTTATAGCAGCACAATTCACAGTAGCCAAATTATAGAATCATCCCATATGCCCCTCAGTAGTTGAATGGATTAAGAAATTGTGGATGTGTGCACAATGGTTCTTTACTTAATCAATAAAATATAATGAAATTATGACCTTTGACAATAAATGGACAGAAATAGAGAATATCATGCCAAGTGGAGTGAGCCTCAGAAAATCAAGGGTCAAATATTTTCTCTCACATATGTAGAAATTAGAGAAAAATAAAGGAACATTGGAGGGCAGGATTTTTTTAAAAAAAGGATATTTCAGCTTTTGGAAAGAGTCAAGAGAAGTAATCAGATATTGCAAAAACTAAAAATGCACGTATACAGAGAATATCAGTGAGCTATTCAACCACAGGCTCAGAGTTATGATAAAACACTCTCAGCTTTACTTTTAATGTTAGCAAGAAATACCTGCACTTGATGTCATAGGATTATTATTAAGACATTTATTCTTTGTTAAATTACTTTCCTTAAGTTCTTAAACTGAAATGTACTTTGTAAATTTTATGTATAATCCGAATTACAAAGGTAACTTGCAGCTTTTAAATAAAATGAACTTGCTTTTCTTTTTATTTTACCTTTTTTTTTTCGTCAATTTTGGTAGAACCATAGAAATATAACATTTCTTTTGTATCCACTTGAGTTGAAAACTTGTGATATAATTTATATTTTTTATTTTTCTTCTAAAGGGAATGGTTTATTTAAATAAAAATGAGATCATTACTAATGGAACTATTAATTATTTAAGGTAAACTGTCCAAAATATATGGAATTGCTCATAGAAATTTTATTACTCTATACTGTTATAGTTAGGAAAACAGACTTTAATAAAATCCAGATGACAAATAGCCAGGATCTTTAACATCTTTTACTTTGCATACTTAAAGCATTTGTAATTTCCATTAGGAAGTTTTATTTATATTTATGAAATTCTTTTATTTATTCTTTTTCAATTATTAAAAGAATTACACTATTTTAACTGTTTATATTTATAGGAAACCTTTAATCTCGTAAAATGGAAAGTTGTATTTGGTTTTCTTCTTAGACTTAAAAAAATAATAAAATCAATAAATTTAAGGCCTGTTTTAAATAGAACTCTCTTCAAATGCATCTATCTATATCATATATGCACGTGGAAATATAAATTTTTTTTACAGTTTTCATTACAACATATTATTGTACCAAAGAAATTTTAATTAAAAATCTATAAAAACTAATTTATACATTATGCAAATTTTAATTCTATAGCGATTAAGAAAAATCTTTACAAATATTGGAAAAAGAGCCTTTGTCAATTTAATGAAATTTTGTAATGATTTTTTTATTACAAAAAAAATTTTGTAGAATAGATAGATGCTTAAATACTTGTTTATTGGCTTCTTTTGAGAAGTGGTAAAGAAATTTGGGGGCTCAGTGGAGTCCTCCACATAGGTGTTGTAAATTTTACCATCAGTATCCCTATACCTTTTCCCAGTGTGTTTCTTTTCTTTTCTTCTAAAAGTGTTCTCTTTTGGAGAGGGGACATAATTAAATTCCCTCTGGTGCCTGTGTACTGCAGTCTACCCAGCAGCTTTGCTCCCTGGACTGTCCCAAGGTTCCTGCAGGGACAAGGAATCTGAAAAGGGCCAGAACCAAGAAGCAGGCTTGCCACAGCGCCCGCTCAGAGCAAGGAGCAGGGGTCAGGGACCACACTGTACAGGCATCAGATGCTTCTTGTGGCAGGTGTGTGTCGGGCTGCTGTGGGTGATTGGACAGGCCAGCTGTCCCAGCCTGGGGCTTTGTGTGATAAACTCAGCTCGCTGGTCAGAAGGTTCACAGGCTCAGATTTATTCACTCCCTCACTGAGAATTGAAATTGGAAGAGGTGGTTAACTGCTGACTGAAGTGGAATTAAACCAAAATTGATGTGTCCTTCGCTATTTTGTGTTTCAGAGACTGGAGCACAAGGAAGTTCTAGTGGGCTTGCTGTTCCTGGTGTTCCCGTTCATTCCAGCCAGCAACCTCTTCTTCAGGGTGGGTTTTGTGGTGGCCGAGAGAGTCCTTTACACGCCTAGGTAATTATCACAGCAGTTTGTTCTTTACCAGCTCTGCCCTCCCGCCCTCCTTAACCAACAGAGAGCATCCTTGGGGTGATGAGAGTTAGGTCCTCAAGCAGCTCAGACTTGATCACCTCAGGCTTCAGACAGCCACACAGAAGGCTGGGTGAGACCATGCTGGTGACATTCACTCTAGTTCCCAGTGGTTCTCTGCCCATTACAACTTCACAGTTAAACTGGAATACTGACTTCAGTTTATTTAGGATGTTAGTACACTTGCTCATACCATACCATCTTGTCCAAATGTTTTGTTAAATATAATTATTATAAATTTTCAGAAATATTTGTTGATTTGCATAAAATTATTATGTTTATAATCTTCTTCCTTGCCCTCTTTTTTTTCTTTAATTTAAAAGTGGGAAAAATCTCAAGAAAATTTATCCTCAAGAAAATCCCTATGAAGCTGGGCTTGGTGGCACATGCTTGTAATCCCAGTGGCTCAGGAGGCTGAGGCAGGAGGGTTGCGAGTTCATAGGCAGCCTCAGCAACTTAGTGAGGCACTTAGCAACTCAGCAAGACCCTGACTCTAAATAAAATATGAAAAAGGGCTGGGGATGTGGCTCAGTAGTTGAGCACCCCTGGGTTCAATCCTAAGTACCAAAAAAGAAAAAATTTGTGTGAAATAAAAGTGATTTAAAAATTATAAAGGATATTCATATATGTGTGGATATATGATGTACTTAGCTCTGAGCATGTGTGAACTGTGCTGAAGCTGGTCTGCTCTCTTAACAATTAAATGTCATTGTTCCAAGACCACTTTTCTTTTCAGATGCCCAGAAATATCACTGAAGCAGGAGATAGGCTTAGTTTTGCCATTTACCAGTTGTGTGACCTTGAGCGAGACATGATGTTTTTTTCCACCAGATTTTCTCATTTCTAAAATTGAGATTTTAGTAAACTCCATAAATTTAATATTTTGGTCTACAATGTTGTCTTTTTGAATAGTTCATTTTTATAAAAGTTTAATAATAACTTCTATAAGTTCTATAAGAATGGATTTTTCTAAAAGGCAATATAATCCAAAATAGTTTTAAGAAAATCATTATTTTTGTTTATGATATTTCACTAGGAATTTTAAAACACTTTTAATTAGAAATGAGATTTATAATCTCCAATTCTCCCAAACCAAAACTATAGCTTTCCTAAGTTTATGCTTATGCAGCATTATGTTTAAACTTGGCTAGGGCTTGGCCAAGGGTAACCTTTACTTTGTTTTAGGTATCCTAGAACAATTTGAAAAGGAAGTTATTGCTTGATACGTATTATTTGATACAGACAAATATACAGCACAATTCTCTGTAGTTTGTGTTACTTACAGCTAAGAGGCTTTTGAGAAGTTGTCATACTAATTTATAGAAGGGCAAAAGGCAACATCAATCTGTGTAATTTTTTAAATCCCTTTCGTGGTACTAAGGGTTGAACCCAGGTCCTTGCTCATGGTAGGCAAATACTCTACTATTGAGCTAAACCTCCAGCTCTTTTTAAATTTTGTTTTAAGACAGGATCTTCCTCAGTTGCTGAGGCTGGCCTCAAATTTGTAATCCTCCTGCCTCAGCCTCCCCAGAAGCTGGGATTACAGACATGTGCCACTGTGCCCAGTTGTAATGTTTTTGCTTAGGTCAGGTGAAAGTATCTTTAGTCAGCTTTTTTCTATAGTACTGATGCCTCCAAGTTCTTCATTTAACAAAGCTTATAGAGTATTTTTTATCATAAATGATGTAGTAGGATCTGAGGCTACAAAAAAAGTAATTGCAGTATCTGCCTTGAAAGAGTTCGTTAACGGTTGACTGACAAAATGGAGTATTTCATAAGACTTAATATTCTTTACAATACTATTCTTCTCTTTAATGCCATTTTACCATTAATTGCATTCAAGCATTTTATTGAGCTTTTATCATATTTCAGTCTCCACGCTAAGGATGTTGTCATTATGTCCATTAATTCATGCTATATCTAGTGGTTCACTGCCTGCCCCATCAAGTGAGAGGGTCTGCCTTTAAATTCCTACTTCACTATCAATGTGATTTCTCCCAGCTTCAGTTTCTTGATTATATAAAACAGGGATAATAGCAACACACAACTCAATGGGATCCTGTGATCATTAAATGAGATAACCATATACAGAACTTAGGAAGTGTTTGGCATTGTATGTGGCCAGTGAATATTAAGTAGCAGTGTTGTTGATAAAAGCCAATACCATGATCATTATGTTACAGAAATGGCTTTGAGAGGGTTAGTAACTCACTCGAGGTGATACAGCTAGTGAGTAGCAGAGCTGGAATGCAGATATTCTCTCCTGACTCTTGACTCACTTTGCAGACCTTATTTTATTTCGATAGAAAGAAAAAGAAGAAAATGGAAACATAATAAAGCAATTTCAGTTCAACTCCATTTAGTGATAGAGACTTGGTATTGCCAAGAATCCTGAGATCTGAATCCTCAGGAATTTGGGGTTCTGGGTGACAGAGAATGACAAGTGCAAGGAACTGCTTTCTGAATCCAGACCCAGGAGATCGTTGGTGAAGGGAGAAGGAAGGCTCTCATGTTATGGAAGCCTACAGTAGCACCATCAGTAGTTCATGGGGTGTTTTCATTAAAGTCAAGGCTTTCTCTTGCCCAGGCAGGTATGTCCTCCACACACACCCCCAGGCTTATGCCAGCTCAGGCTCTTCATATTTGCCATGTCTCAGTGGCCCTTCCTGTGGTACTATATATTTGTCTAGAAATAAAATGCTCATTTTTCCTAGGAATAATCTGACTTGGGTTACAATAAAATTGTTGCATATGAAGAAAGCATCAGTTTAGCCAAGAGCAAGTGCCTGCCTCTGGGAACCAATTTGGATTTGCTTCATTTGGCAAGCTCAGTGAAGAGGCATCCAAAAACAAATTCAGTAAGCTAGTCTGCATTAAGAAGATAACTGTCCTTTTCTGTCCAAGTTCCTGCATCCATGTATTGCAGCGTTGTTGCCAAGCTGCCATTTCCGAGGGTTTCTCTTTGCTGCCTTGTGACTTTTGGATTCACAGGCACGTCATTACCGTGCCCATCGTGACTGCTGCCCCTTGTAGTGGTATAGTCTCAGCAGATGTCTAAGCCATGTGATCAAGGAGGTGGAGGTGCTTTCCTGTTTCTGAAGGATGATCCTGGGGGACCCAGGTCACTCCACTGGGTCTGCAGTCCTGACCAATTTTAAGAGTGTAACCTGGATTTTGGAAACTTGGGGTGAGAGGAAGCCTAGAAATATTTCAATGGGATGTCACATCTCTAAGGAATCCCAACCTTTCCACAGTCATTGTTGTAACTAAACTAGCAAGGGAGCGTCTTTACTTAGGCACTGGATTCCTTTTTATCTATTGTGTTGTGCAAGTGAAGTGGCCTAGATTGTCAGTAATTGAAGCCCGTGTGAACACATTGCTGTAGCTTCAGGGTTTCTAATGACTTCACCAGAACTATTTTGTAAATATTGAGCTATCTTGAAAAATGACAGACTTTTTCACAAACAGATTTTACCTAACAGTGACCAGCTGCCCTGTCTTAGTGGACAATAGTAGATAATTGGGGATAGAACATTTGAAGTCCTCTCCAGGGCCAAGCAGAGTGGGGTGGATGCTGTGGGTCTCCTGGAGGTGTCAAAGCACTGGATAATACTTGCTTCATTTAACAAACCTGAAGATAAAATTTGACCATGATGCAGAATATCTCCTAAACCAAACTGTTTCTTCTTTCCTTATTATTTTTTTTTCCTAGTTCTGGGGATCAAATCCAGAGCCTTGTGCATGCTAGGCAAGTGCTTCTACCACTGAGCTGTACCCCCAGCCCTCAACCTTTTACACAATTAGAAATCTTCTCTGCACGAATCTCCTTCTGTTGTTGACCTTGTCTTGAAACAGCCACTTTCTACCTCATTAGTGCCCAGGCTCTTTGAGGAAAATATATATGATGTCCTCACTGACATCCCTGAAAATGCAGGTCATCTTTATGCAGAAATTATGTGTTGGCTCACGAACTTTAGGGAACAATAGGAATATGAACCAAAAGCTCAGCATGAGGATGTGGCTCAGTGGTAGTGTGTGTGCTTGCCTATGTGCAAGGCCCTCAGTTTAATTCCCAGCACCAGGGGAAAAAAAGAGGGAAAAAAAGGTGAACTTTCTCTTGTTATATGTTTGTTTCAAATTATTATGAAGCCAAATCCTGGCCTCTGGCCTAAGGTGCTCATACCTGACTGTCACAGAAGTCATATCCAGCCCTACTGAAGCCTGGGTAAATCCCCTCAGTCCCAGGAGGCTGATGTGGCCATTCTACAAGAAGGGTCTAGTATGAGTCAGACTGACAGTCTCTTCCACCCCGACCTTTATTCCTAACTAGGAACAAACCCCTTAAATCTTCTGGCTTCTCTTCTTCCTCCAGCCTAACCCAGAAAATACCCAAAATATAATCCTCCTCTCATTTGCACTTGGAAATCTGTGGATAAAAAGGGCAGAAACTAGCTATTTGCTGGCACTCCCTGGTGTTTAGGGTCAAGAGTTTTTACCATCAAAATAAATTGGAATAATATTTTCTTTTGGTGATAAATGCCCACTTTGTGGATGTCCTTTTTGAACAGGCAAGAGAGTTGGAGTTTGAATTCATTCTTAAACAGATTTTGCTCTCTGATTCTGATCCCAAGAGAAGCATATAATTTTATGGCTATCTTTTCTGTATTTTGTACAAACTGCACTAGAAAACTCCAAAGGACTGAAATTTCTGGAAATTGATGAAGCAGAAATAGTTGATGAAAGCTTTCAAATAAAGTTATATAAAGTAATTTAACATTCACCCACATGCCAGATTCAGGATGATTTATTCACTTCAGTGCCAAAGAGCAAATTCCTTAGCTACTTTAGGAAAACTTCAATGAGTAGAAAAGGGAAAGGAATAGACAGGAATTGAAGGTAGAAAAATATTTGGGGATAGACACAAT